GGAGCAGCCCAAAGGAGGCTGTGAGATCTACTACTTCTTACAAGGATGTCAGGTCAGCTTCCTTGCTACAACTTTCAAATTAATGTGAAAAGCAAGGCAGCTCCAGAACACCACATGGAGCAAAGGCTCAGCCTGGGGCAAAATTAACACAAAAAGAACTTGGGATCAAAGTATCAGCGATTTTCAGGACCTTTATAGTCACTGGAGCCCAAAGGAGGCTGTGAGATCTACTACTTCTTACAAGGATGTCAGGTCAGCTTCCTTGCTACAACTTTCAAATTAATGTGAAAAGCAAGGCAGCTCCAGAACACCACATGGAGCAAAGGCTCAGCCTGGGGCAAAATTAACACAAAAAGAACTTGGGATCAAAGTATCAGCGATTTTCAGGACCTTTATAGTCACTGGATTCTCAAAGCATTTTTATTAATTTCCTGATCCTCTTCCCCCAACAGATCTGCCAACATCCCTGCCTCATTCAATTCCAGAAAACAAGATGCAGACATCAAGGGGCCCAGATTAAAACTTCTCCTGGGAAGGAGGCCAATGTTATTTGACTTTACAGATTGAGAAATTGAAAAGGAAGGGGACTTGTTTCAAGGACACACCGTTATCATACCACGGTTGGAATTAGAGATCAGGAGCTCTTGCCTTCCAGTACCCTGCTCAATTGTTTCCAAATGCCACACATTCTTGTCTCATCCAGAGATAATGGGAGGGGACCAGATAGGTTGTCTGATGTTACCAAATGAATGTAATAATTTTGATTCAGTGATTTGCAGGTTAACATAAAGAGAGAAATCAGACTGTCATTTGAGCTTAATGATCCCAACTAACCAGCAGTCTGAATGGCTCACTGTTCTAATACACTTGGTTATTTTCAGGCAATAAAGCCGTTCAGAAGACATGATGAGTGCAGCTGGCCCCACTAACCTGTGTCGATTTTTGTTCTTCCGTTTTTTGTGGCTGCTGTGGTGACTCCCCGAGGAGGTGGAAGAAGCGGCTTTCTGGGGTTTCACCCCCTGGACAGACCCATCTAGCTCTTCAGTATCCTCTTGGTTGGGCTCATTCTCCTGATTGTGAAAGTCTGGAGAAGTATCACTCTCTGTTCCACTGCCTGGCTCCCCTAGAACACAACAAATCCAGAGGAGCACAGCGATTACTTCCCAGCAGTTCAACTCCAAGACAGACCCTGGTGAATCCCTTAGTACTAAAACAAAAAAGTGCTTGAGCCAAAACCTGAGTAAGAGCAGCAAACCACATTAGCACAATGCACATGGAAGTCACACAGCTTAAAGTCTCCAATATATAGTACACAAAAAGGACATTAAGTAAGTGTGACTAAGCAGCATTTCCTCAGTATGGCAAGGTACTAGAAATATATAATCACGGTTAATCACTTAACCGGTTAAACATTGTCTGACCAGTTACTTGATTAGACAGAAGCAGGTCCAGCTGGGCTGCAGCACCCATAGCCAGGCTAAGCCTTACTGGGTGATGCTTACTGGTTAACCATTCACATCCCAACAAGTTGCCTCTTATAAACTGATGCATGCTAGAATCAAATGAAATTAAATCAACACCTGATTCAGGAATAACCCTGATAGAAATTTATTTCCTGCACACCAATTTCTATTGTGTATGCTATATAATGCCCTTAAGAACCTGAAAAATCAAACTATTAGAGCAAAAGCCCTCAGTCTCAGACAGGAAACTATCACTGCACCTAGAGTTGAACCAACAATCCGTTTCATCGTGGATTAAAAGTCAGTGCATATAAAACTCAAAGTCTAGGTTGAAGCAGAAGTTAGAGGCTATGCTAACTTAAGAGGGAAAATGTGAACTTTTGTGACTCTTGTGACAGATGCCAGAGGTTCTATGCAGCCAGCACTCCAATCCAATGACAATTATTTATCATTTAGTTGTAGGAAAGAAAAGGTGCCAGAGCTCTGACCCTCAGAGCGTCAAAGCACCAAACCCACTTAAATGCACTTCACTTGCAGAGAGCAGTTTAAGCAGATACAAAAGAGAATGCCATTGTAAAAAAGAGGTCTACATTTTAATTTTAATATATACTGCGCTAATGGGTACAACTGTGACCTTATTTAGAGCAACAATTGCTGGGGTATGAAAGGCAACACATCTACAAGTCAGGGAATTACAAGAACCAATAAAAGAGCGCTGGAAGGGGAACACTAACAGGACCGAATTACTCTCAGTCTCAGAAGACATAAGGGGTGAAAAGAACATACAAGTGACCTCATTCCACAGGAAGCAGTTTGCTTCATTCCAAATTAGTCAGATGGTGAGAGGAAAGAAGTATCTTACGCTTTTCAATGAGCTGGTCCTGTACACCGGCCAATGCACTGACTGCCTAGAAAATCAGAAGGCCCATTAATTAAAAAAATATTCATTCTGCACCTCATCTACCATGTATATTTTTATCTTTTCAAGCTCTCAAAAAACATGCAAGACACCCCACAAAACAAGAGATGGTTCTTTGGTTTCTGCCCCAAAGAACTTACAGTTACACTCAGCATATCATGACAAGAGGGGGCATTACAGCCAAAAAGGAAGAAGAGAGAGAACACAACAAGGGCAGGAATAGTATCAGGAGGCACAGAAGTTTCTTGTTTGGTCTGTCACCCTGCCCCTTCCTCTCAGAGGCATTGGGCATTGTGACATATGAATTTTATGGTAGGACAGGAGCGTGACTGTGTAGAAGAAAGCATGGAGATGCTTGTAAGAGACAGATCAACACAGCCACTGAAAGGGCACAAACTATGCCAAGGGGACTAGTACTAAGAACAGGGAGAGATCCGCTGCCCCAGAGTTTCCTCTCAATCAGGCGAAAGAAAGAAGAATAAAGAGGCTATTATCCCCTTCTTAGGTACTAAGTGAACTGAAGGAAACTCCATGAAAAACAATTCAGCACAATCTGGAAGAAAGGAGAAAAGTGAGAAATGACAGAGTGGACAGTGCAAAGTGTATGATCTCCTCAGCTCATATCTGATCACCCCAATGTTCACGGGGAAAGGCCAGGCAGTTCTGCCCAAAAGGTCAGAACTTAAGTTGGCATTGCATGCTGATAGGTCAAAAACTCTGTACTCACTGCTGCTGAGGTGACAGAAGATTTGCTGAAGAGTCTTTCAGCTTCTTTAAATTTCCGGTTTCTTCGGTCGTTTTTGCTGTTCGAGTTTCTGAAATACACAGCATGTTCTCATTGCAAATACTCAGTCACTGTCTCAGCTGGTGTCCTGTTCCATTATCTACCTACCAAGGTATAACCTGTGGGTTCAGAACAAGGCAGGAAGACACTACAGCCCAAGGACACTGCATAGAAGTCCCTAATGGACCAGCAGCCACTAATCCCTGGGAATGCTCTGTACCCATCTCCTCATTGATATCTAAAGAGAAATATGTTTCTTAAGAACATATGGAGACTCGGAGTTCAACCAGTCCCCAATACCCAAAGGCCCCTTTTAGTGCTGGGAAGAGGATGACAAGATACACCTGCACAGAGAAGTTTTACTGGCTGATATAGTTTCAACCGGTCCACAAAAGAGGCATTTTAAGAGAAACAATGTCCTGTGTATTAGCTAACCTGAGGGACTATCCCAAGTTGTTGTTTTTTTCTAAAGTTCCACTTACTGAAGCCGTTTAGAAGGCAAGAACCTCAGGACTGGGACACAAACATATGACACAAAAAAAACCCCAAATATTACATGCCAAAGTAAAACTACTATTGAACCAGGGAACCCAAAAAAGTCACCTCTCTCCACTCACTTCTGGTTTGTCAGGTAGCGATCCCAGCCACGGATGATGTTACCATACATCTGGGTGTCCTCTAAGTAGCTGCCCTCAAAAGCATAGATCTGCCTCTCCAAATTCGCTAGAGTCTCCTGGTATAAAGAGCACAGAACAAAAGAAGAGGCTAGTGCCAGCACAGTCACTGATGCAGGGGAACCATAGCTGGCCAATGCCCAGAAGTCTGCAGACACTGTGTGAACTCTAGACTCGGTTTATGCCTGCTGCAGGGGAGCAGGCAGCGAGGGGAGGGGAGGGAACAGATGCAAAAGAGGGAGGAGAGAGGATGCAGGAGATGCCTGTGGATTTGTGCCTCTTGCCACATGAGCTGTATGGCCCCCAGATATCGCTACCCTCCAATGTGCCCTCTATGTCCCTTCTCTTTCCCAATCCTGCCAGGACCCACCTCAATCCTCAGTGCCCCCACAGAGCTGGTGCACCCCAGCCCTCCAGACCCTTCCCTTCCCCAACCCTGCCAGGACCCACCTCAATCCTCAGTGCCCCCACAGAGCTGGTGCACCCCAGCCCTCCAGAACGGACCCTTCATGAGGAGCACTGAGTTTGATTGTCTCACTGGGAGCCTCAATGGGATTGGAGGTCAGGCTAGATTCACAAAGAAACTTAGGGGCCTAAGGGTCACAAAACCTGAGTTAAACAAGTAGGTTCCCCTACACAATGAATGGGGAGACATAGACACTTTAGAATGGGATTTAGAAGGCTATTTGCCTAATCTGGCCAATGAGAGATGCCAAAGCCCCTCACCTTGCTGGACTTCACAGAGAAGGGCACCAAAGTTTGGGCTACAGGAAGACGCTTGCCCCTGCTAAGGGATAAAGGAGTCTACAGAGGACCAGGTGGCCTAATGATTCTCACACCCAGTTTCTACTCTCACCTCCCTGCAGGACGGGCTTTCAGTCCCATTCCTAACCATTGTGAGCGGCGCAGCTTCACATCAGAGCTATCTATGCTCCCGTCCTCTCCATACTGGAAGGGAAGAGTGGTGAAAATGAAGTTTATGGCCCTCCTGCATAAAAGGCAATTCACAGAGGACCCCAGGCCTTCCCTCTCCAGCAAGCTCTGACCAAGGACCCTAGGTGAGCCAAGATAGTTCACCACCCTGCACTGCCATCAGTTGCCTCCTTGCATTGCATCCTATCATATGATCCCTTCACTCCCAGATCTCCAGGTGCAATACAGGATAGCAAATGAAAAGAAAACTTTGCAGGCCATCTGATTCAGGAGCCCTGTGGATATATCAGCCTTCCTCCCCAGTCTCTCACTTCTCAGCTCAGTTGCTCCTGTTCAAGCTTCCTCTGTAGTTGGACCATGCTAGGATTTGGACTACATTAGTATTATCCTTTATCTCCTTCAGGGCCAGTGTAGGGTTTGTATACCACAACACACTAAGGTCCTCAGCTGGAAACCCTCTCTCAGGGATACATGCCTACTTCATTTTTGCAAAGAGACTGGAGGTCGGGAGGGGAGAAAAGAACCTCTCCTATAACATTCACCAAGAGGCTAGGATACTCACTACCTGAGGTGTGTGGATTGGGGGGAGGGGAATCGAGATCTGAACAGGGATCTGCGACCTCTCTGGTGAGTACTAGCTTCCAGTGTACTATGACAAATCACAGTCTCATAATCATGAAATTTGTAACATTAAAAAAGTCATGAGATTTTTAAGACAAAGTTGGTGGTTGGTTCTTGTTTTTTCTTTTATTTTGGGGGTTGGACCTTTGTTTTTTATTTCCCTTCTTACGTTTAAGCTTTTAATGTTCATGTTTTCAATGTTTTCCTTAGCAACCATGAGCACTAGAAACATATGGGGCTTATTTTGCTTTTTAAAGGAAGTTGAGAGATTTGCATAAACCCATGTCTCCAGGATCTGGGAATTTAAAAATCCCCCACGGCAAATATCATGTGTTTTCTGGTAAAAATCTCAAGACTCAGTAGCACCTTATTCTCAGGGCTCTTGTAAGGACCTTCAGGGTCAAGAGTGGAGTGAGGCAAAGAAATAGAACCAGTAACTGAAACCCATCTAGATCTGTCAGGAATATTTTTGATAACATTCTTTTTCTCAAACATTTTACTTCAGCAAAGTTGGTACATTTGATAAAGTTTGATTGGAAGGTTTCTGAGGTCCAGGGTCAACTCCGATAGAGGGAGACCCAAATTAAAACTCCGGCCCATTTTCAACTCAATTCCATTTTGGCAGAAAATGTTCAAATGCTTTTGGGTTTTGTTCCAGATTGGAACAAAAAACAAATGTTAAAACATCAAAAGCTGTCACAAAACACAATTGTCATCCCTCAGTCAGCTCCAATCTGAACATTAAGCTCCCATTCCTCAGACATCAAATTTCCAGGGAATCAAGTGAGACTGATGATGAATTCTTTCTGCCTGTTTGCCACAGTGGTTCCAGAAAGCCACAGAATCTGAGACTCCCATGACTTTCCAGTACAAGTGCTGGAATTAGGGATGTGGCACCCCCTTGGCCTGAAGTGGTTTCCGTTATAACTGGATTTCCAGTTTGGTCCAATAGCTCTCAGCACGCCTACTATAAAAATTGTTCCAGCACCCCTGCACTTCTGCAGTGGCTGGTGCGGCTGGCCCAGGGGCCGCCTGAGCAGCTCAGTCTACCTATGGAGCAGCTGCATCAGCCACTGCTGGGGCTATCTTGGGGGCGCGGCCCCCACACCCCCCATTGACTATGGCCCCCAGCCAATGGGAGCTGAAGCTTTGGCTGGAGACAACATGTGGATCTAAGAGCTGAGGGAGGGACATGTTGCCACTTCCAGGGAGCCATGAGGATCCAGGTAGGGAGACTGCCAGCCCCACCTTCCCCACCCTAGCACTAGCTGGGGTCCTGGCCTGCATGCTGCCTGCCCCACCCAGCATCCATGCCCCCAGCCCCCATCCTCTCTCCCTCCCAGAGCTAGTACCCCCCATTCCCCAGCCCCCATCCTCTCTCCCTAGCACTAGCTGGGGTCCTGGCCTGCATGCTGCCTGCCCCACCCAGCATCCATGAGCCCCCACAATACCCCTTGGCCACCTTACCCCCAAAATTTTAGTCAGGGGTATATAATACAAGTCATGGACAGGCCACAGGGCATGAATTTTTGTTTACGGACTGTTACAGGTCCATGACTTTTGCTAAAAATATTCATGACTAAAATGTAGCCTTGATGATGCATAGTGAGCACCCTTGCATTGAGGGATCTGAGGGAGCTGGAGAAAGTTCCTTCCAACTTCCTGACCACAGCAAAGTCTCTTGTACTGACAACATCCTAATTTAATTCAGTTACACTCTGTCTTCTGACTTCTGAATGTCTCTTGTATCTGAGGATCCAACTTTTGTTCTCCAAACTTTTAATTGCTCTATTTCTAAATTTGTCTTTTCTCACCTCTTTCC